AGATCTGGTGATGGTGGGGGCCACCTAAGCAAGGTAAAGTCTCCCTCATGTTCTTGAAACCACTCCTGCACAATACGAGCACCGTGGCATGGCGCATTGTCTTGTTGGAAGAAGCCACCGCCATTGGGATACGCCATCAACACGATAGGATGAACTTGATCAGCAACGATACTTAGGTATGTTGTGCTATTCAGACGTTGTTCCTCACGAATTAAAGGGCCCAAATCATGCCAGGAAAACATGCCCCAAACCATAACACTGCCCCCACCAGCTTGAAGGATTGTACTCATGCATGGGCGGGTGCATGCTTTCATGCTGTTTCTGCCAAATTCTCACTCTGCCATCTGCATGATGCAACTGGAAACATGATTCACTGGACCACATGACTTTTTTCCAATGCTCAACTGTCCAATCCTTGTGTTCCTGTGCAAACTGGAGACGTTTTATCTTGGTAACTGCAGACAGCAAAGGTGTTCGAACAGGCCTTCGGCTTCCATATCCCATACGATGCAGTGGACGGCTAATTTGCCTACAAACGTCAGGTGGTCATAATAATCTGGCCACTCAGTGTATATATAAAGATTAGTAATCCCAAATGAAAGGGAACCCCTAGTGCAGTGGTCAGCAAACTGCGGCTCGTGAGCCACATGCGGCTCTTTGGCCCCTTGAGTGTGACTCTTCCACAAAATACCACGTGCGGGCGCGCACGTACAGTGCGATTGAAACTTCGTGGTCCATGCGCAGAAGTCGGTATTTTGTGGAAGAGCCACACTCAAGGGGACAAAGAGCCACATGTGGCTCGCAGGCTGCAGTTTGCCGAACACTGCCCTAATGAAATCTTCCCTTGGCTCCTCCTTGCTTACAGGATTAAGCCTACGTCTCTCACCAAGCCCAAGGAGCCCTCCACAATTTGACTGTCCCTTCATCCATGGGCCACCCCTCCCTCTGCAGTGCAGCTGAACTGAATCACTCAGGCTCCGTCAGGGATTTCAGGACTTTGCACTACACTGCCTTGGCCTGGAACGTTGTCTTTCCCTTGCTTGGTCAGCAAATGTTTCGAAAAAGCTTCTGCAGACGTCAATTTGGGAACACAGAGGAATGACACCAGCCCATAGCACTTGCTTCTGGCAGGACCTCTTTCCTGTCAGTCTCCTGCACGAAGCTGAGCATACCCCACTGTCCCCAGGCTGATTTTCAAATATGTAAACAGAAAAAATAAAATTTTAGTAGTGAAACTATTGCTCCTACAGTACCGAAGCACAGTTCCCAAACTGTGCATCAGGGCACCTTAGGGTGCCACATTAAATTCACAGGGGCACACAGAATCGTTAAAATTTGAGATAGTCAGCATCTGTTGGCTACGGTGAGAACGGCTAGTTCAAGGCAGTTCACAGTTTCATCATTAGGCTGTGCTACATTCTTTTGAATGTCCTCTTTGAGAACCTGCGTTTTTAGTGGTCACTATGATAAAAAGCAAATAGAAGTCAGTGTGCAACAGGAAATGAGGTGGTGGTTTCCAATCTGATTAGAGAGTGTGACATGTTTTTTAGTGCCTAACAAGCACACGGATCCCTCTAATTATTGTAGTTATTTAAGAAATAAATATTGTTTCATTTATATATAGTATTTTTTAAATGACAACTGGCTTGGTAAGACAAATTCTTATTGATTCAACTGCTTAATAAATCAAACTGTGAGGTATTTCTTTTGGGTTAGGGGCTCTTATGAAAAAAATTACTGAGACACTAATGGTGGGGGTAAGTGTGAGCTGAGGAAGTTTGGGAACCCCTGGTCTAAGAAATCCTCCAATCTAGGACACATAAAAAACCCTGCAGGCTGTGAAATAAAGTTAGTGGGTTATAACCAGCATTTTTTCTCATTAATAAAACAGAATGGTAAATAGAACACATTGCATATAGCAAGAGTATCCTATCTAATAAAAGAGAAACATGGTAATTTGCCGTACGTCCACTACCTTTCCCATTGGCTAATCTGGGCGATATGCAAATTAACTGCCAGCCATGATGGCAGCTGGCAGCCAGGCAGCTTGAGGCGAACATGAGGCTTGCTTGCTTGAGGACTGGAGGAAGCCAAGGTTCCCCCCCTGCCTTGCCGGCCTCTGAGCTTGCAGTTTAAGAAACATTGTCAAATAGGGAAGCTAAACAAAACCCCAGAAACCTGCTTTCAGTGAGCCAGGATCTCAGAGCTGGCATTGATACAGTGTTTTGATTATAGAACCCAAACAAACCAGATAAATG